TCTGGTCCATCAGATGCTCTCTTGTCAGCTGTTATTATTTGCCTTTGACCCCCTCTTCATGGACCATTTCATTGTATGGTTTGAATTTTAGATCTGGTATCATGTTCACAATTGAGAATACTGTAGAAAACTTTCTCCCTAAAATTCTGATTGCCAGTGAAAATAGAGTAAGAAAGATGACAAAGGCTTTAGGATATAAGTAAAAATGGCAAAAGACAGGAAAAAAAGATTGTTCTGTTGATAAGCAAATTATAACAGTGCAACTTGCTCAACCTGCCCTATCAAAAAAGTTGTTGTTTTTTTTTTTCTGAAAAGAAAAAAAAATTAATATCATTTAATAAAGTTTACATAGGCTTGTGGATCCACAATTCAACCCAGCTGAAAAAACATAAGGTGTTGGTTGTTTTTTTTTTTTTTGTGCAGAGGGAAGAATAGCAAGTGGTTTATAGAATTTACAGTTAATACTACCATTTCTTTCCGTATTCAGATACTGTATTTATTTCTTCAATGCACATAATCAGCTCACTGTGTTCTAATTAAATTAACTTCCACTATACAGTCCTTCAATGTTACAGTATTTGAGGAAACAAGTACGGTGCCATAATACTAAAAGCCCACTACAGACTCAGACACTTAGATAGCTGCCCAGAATTTAAATTAGGATGGTACTTGAAGGAAAGTAATAATGTATATCTTTTAAATTTTAGGTATTATGCATCCCCCCAGGTTGTTTTCTTTAATGTTTTTACTCTCTAGGCACCTCTATAAAACAAGGAGGTTATATTACTCCCAAGTTAGGGATACAGACCTGAATCACAGAGCGTAGTTACTTTGTTTAGGGTGACACATGCATCCTAATGACAGCCTTGGGATCTGGGAACAGATATCCTGTATCTTACTCAAGTATCCTGCCCCTGGGACTAGCTGTCCAGTCTCCCCTGGAAACCCCGTAGGGAATCCTTTTAACAACATTAGAAAAATCAGGGAGGATATTTGTATTGTGGGATGAAAGAATAGAATAGAATAGAATAGAATAGAATAGAATAGAATAGAATAGAATAGAATAGAATAGAATAGAATAGAATAGACCATCTAGGGCTCCCTGCCTGCCCACCCCAGGGCTGGCTAAAACCAGAGCCCATTGTTAAGGGCATTGGCCAATGGCCTCAGCAACCCTGAGGGACCCGGGGCACCCCTGCCATGCCAGGGAGCCAGGGCCAGGCTTTATCTGTGCTCTTGGTGCAGAGATGGTGCTGCTTTGAGCCACTACCCATGTCCTGTCTGAAGGAAGGTAGAGGGGCCTGCAGGCACAGAGGCGGGGGCAGAGCCAGAGGAAGAAGCTGGGGCCGGGGGGGCCTGGGGGTGCCAGTGCTGCCATCCTGGCAGTGAGGGAGGGAGTGCTTCTGTTTCTGCCCCGGACAGGCCATCCTGCTGTCAAGCCAGAGCTCATCTGCAAGATGGAGCGAGAAGAGCTGCCGTGCATGCCAGACCCCCCCGGAGTGTGGGGGAGACACTGGACCCCTGTGCCAGGCAGGTACTGGGGGGCTGCGGTGGTGGTGGGGGGAGTCCAGAAGCATCTCCCCCTTGACCCCAGGTGCTCTGTGTACTGGGAAGGGTTGAGGGCTGAGGGGTGCGTGTGACGGTCCCTATGGTGGGGTGTCCCATGTGCCAGTTCCGTCCTTGGCAGTGACCCCAGGCTCTCCTTCCCAGGAGCCGGTGACATCCCAGTGCAGAGGGTGGCTGGGGGGGTCCCTGAGGGGCTGTCGGCACCCTCTGCCCTGCTCCAGGGAATGCCTGAGCGAGGCAGGAGGCGACGGAGGGGCTTGGCCCGCAGCCAGCCAGGCAGGAGCAGGGGGGGGCCATCAGGGCTCCACCAGCTCCCAGCCCCCCGGCCACTGGAGAAGACCCCCCCGACATGCCCTGAGTGCGACAAGAGGTTCAAGAGCCAGACGGCGTTGGCCATCCATGAGCGGAGCCATACAGGCGAGCGGCCCTTCGCCTGTGCCCGCTGCGGCAAGGCCTTCCCCTCCAAGGGGGACCTCAAGCGTCACCAGAAGACCCACGCTGGGAAGCCGGACCCTCCCCGTCCTGGCACTGGCCTCCCAGCCAAACTGCAGCCAACTCGCTCCCCCCGCGTCCCCCCGGCCCCCAGGAGACCCCACGCCTGCACCGAGTGTGGGAAGAGCTTTGGGAAGAGCCGGGACCTGAGGAAGCACCAGCAGACGCACACGCCGGCGAGACCCTTCTCTTGCCCGCAGTGTGGCCGCCGCTTCCGCCTGAAGCAGATCCTGGCGTCACACCAGAAGGTGCATGGCGGGGAGAAGCCCTTTGGTTGTGGTGACTGTGGCAAGCGCTTTGGTCAGAAGCATCACCTCCTGAGCCACCGCCGCGTTCACACCGGCGAGAAACCCTTCGCCTGTGGCCACTGTGGCCACCGCTTCAGCCAGAAGCACCACCTGGTCAGCCACCAGCGCATCCACACCGGGGAGCGGCCCTTCGCCTGTGCCCGCTGCCCCAAGGCCTTCCGGGACAAGAAGACCCTCACTGTCCACCAACGCGTCCACACCGGTGAGAAGCCCTACAGGTGCGGCGAGTGCGGCAAGACCTGCAGCCAGAAGCAGCACCTCAAGAGCCACCAGCGGGTTCACCGGGACCGGCCAGCGGTGCCGGAGGGAGATCGGTGGGAATGTGGGGGGCGTCCGCCCCCAGCAGGGGGGCGAGTGGAGGCCAAGCCTTTCCAGTGCGGCGGCTGCGAGAAGCGGTTTCGGGACGAGGGGATCATGCTGGCTCACCAGCGCACCCACAGCACCCCCAGCTTGCCACCGCTGCAGCCTGGTACCCCCCGAAACTGCCGCTGATGGGTCTGCAGGGTGCTGGGGGCTGTGATGGGGGTGGCTATGGCACCCAGAGCATTGACCGATGTCAGAGCAGCTACATGTGAGCTGGGAGCGAGCAGCAGCCACGGTCCCCTCCAGCTCAGCAGAGAAGCACCCTCACTGGCACAGGCTGAATCCCCTTCAGCTGCTCCCTGGGGACTCTCCGGGCAGCAGCATTGAGCTTGCCACTCGAGGGCGTTCGTCACTGGCACCCCTTCCGGTAGTGCCATGGGCACAGGACTGGCTGCCAGGGCAAGGGACACATGAAATGTGTCACCACACAGCCAGAGCAATGCAGGGGATGGAGGGGAAGATGCTGCTTTATTTTCCCACCCAGATAGTAAATAAAAAGCTTCTTGATGCCGCCAACGAGCAGTGAGCTCCATGGCAACACAGCATGTGCCACCTCTCTCTGGCAGCAGCACCAGGGCCTGGGCCAGCTTCCCCTTCCTCATCCCTAGAAAACCCCTTTCCCAGACCATTCCCGCTGGGACACAATGAGAGGCTGTACTGGGCAGCCAAGGGCAAAGCAGTGTCCTGAGGGAGCTGGATGGACATTGGCTGGTCCTGGCGAGAGGTGTCACCCATGCCAGGGCCACTGGACTGTGCTGGAACCAGCCACACTTTCCATCATCTTGTTTTAATTTTTATTTTTTTTTTTTCAGTCAGCACAGGGACACAAATTCACTCATGCCCAAAGTTTCCCTTTATTCCCCCCCAAAAAAACAGAGTTGGTGATGGCCATGACAGTCAAAGCCAAGCTTGTGGGTTTGGCATCAGGTGTGCAAAGGCACCTTCGAGTCTCAGGGGTGCCCAGGGCATTGGAGGGGAGGGCGTGCTGTGGGGCTGTGGGTGCTATGGGAGCTGGGGGGGATGTGGGGCTGCAGCAGGTGTGTGTTGGGATGGACAGGGGCCCCATTCCCTCCTCGACACTGACCCCCTTCCTCTCCTCGTCCCTGAGGCTTTCTGAGACCCAGGCTCCATCCTGGGGTCTCAACTTCACCCAGGCACAGTCAGGCTGAGTGGCCTTGGGTATGTCCCCCACATGAGCCCCCCCCTACCCAGTCCTGCACACCACGAGGCCTTACCTGGTCCCCCTCAATCCTCCCCAGTCCCTTCTTCCTCCCTCCCAGTCCCCCCTGATTCCTCCCTGGTGCCTCTCCTATTCCCCCTCAGTCCTCTGAAAGCTCTCCCAGGTCCCCCCCAAGCCCTTCCCCATCCCACTTGGTGTCCCATCCCTCCACCCCCGTCTCTCCCCAGTCCCTCCTGGTCCATCTCAAGCTCTCCCAGGTCTCCCCCAGTCCCCCTGATCTCTCCTAGTCCCTCTCAGTCCCCCTCGAGCCCTTACTGGTCCCTCCTGGTTCCTCCCTGAGCCCTGTCCCTCCAGTCCCCTCTGAGCCCTTCCCAGTCCCCCACAGCCCCCTGCCAGAGTGCCAGATGCGGGGCTGCTGCAGACGGGGGCAGGGCCCGGAGCACCGTTGCATCGCAGGGGGCCACCACTGCTGGTGCGAGGTGGCTCCTCAGCGCCAGAAGAAATCCCCTCCTGCAGGAGAGGGGGTGAGGAAGGCTCAGGATGCTGCACCCTGGGGGAGCTG